AGAGAGAGATGGGTCTTGGTAGCTCACAGTCTTTGAGATAAAGAACAAAAAGATCAACATCCCAAACCCTCCCAAGTGAGACATGCCTCAGTTTCACCCTCTAGCTACAGAGTGACCTGTGCATTGACTATATTCTTGAAATCCTGTGCTTTTCCTTTTACACTTCTGTCTTTGCTAGTAGTTGTGGTGTGACAGGGCTCCCAGGCTGGGCTAGATGCACAGAGGGCAGGAACCAAAATCTAGTGTGACAAGTGAGACTGTGGGGAGACTCTTCACTAGGATCCCTAAGACTTTTGCAGTCTCCTAAGCCTGAGCAAAAGGTGATGCAGGATGGAGTCTTGGGTGACTTTCTTCATACCTGCCCTTCTCATACCAGTCCTGATCAGCATGGTGCCCTGCTCAGAGGAATGGGCGGGAATGGTGGGATGGAGTGTGAAGGCATGAGAGGAGAATTCAGGGTGTGGATGGGAGAGACAGCGATGGGAGTTTGTCCTGTGGCTTCACTTCTGGTTGTTAAGTCACAGGTTATAGGGAGGGCTCCAGGCCCCACAGTGTCTTGTCAGAGGCAGGACATGCAGGCTCCTTCCTTCCCCTCACTATCAGGGAGAAGGCAGTGAGGTCCCCACGTGAGAAGGGAAGGAAATAAAGAAGTGAAAGTGTAAAAGGCCAAGGCGTACTCTTCGGGAATGTGGATGTCTGTGGGTCAGCATCCCAGACTGGCCCACACTGGCCATTAGCTGCACTCTATTTTTTTTTTTTTTTTTTTCGGAACCGGGGATTGAACTCAGGCCCTTGCGCTTACAGGGAAGTGCTTATTCCACTGAGCCGTCTCCCAGCCCCTTAACTGCACTCTTGCTGATCATGCGGAGTCTGCATTCTTCTCCATGCTGCGCCAGGGACACCTCCTCCACCCAAGCCCAAAGCATGAACAAGTGGCCTTCTGGTCCATCATAGTGTGGGTCAGCTTTTCTTGCTAGAACTATTACAGCCCTCTTCTCCTAGAGTCCTGCTGGTTCCGCCCTGACTTGTTCCTGCCTTGTGCTTCGGGAACAGGGGGTTTAATTTAGAACATTCCCAAGGATCTCCCAGGAAGCTGGGATCCAGGTCCTTGTTTGTCATTTGCTCGGAGAAAAAACTGTAAACTTTGACTTTTCTTCCCCTGCATCAGAACTATCCTCAGTGCAAATCCAGAAGAAAAAAAAAAAAAAAAAAAAAAAAAAAAAGATATATATCATTGCACCTTTAAACTGTTCCCCATAATTCCCCAAATAAAACTGGGAAAACACTCTGTCTCTTGAGCCCCTTCTTAGTCTAGAGGCTCGCCTTGTGAGTACCAAGGGCACGGGCTTCCGACCCTTCCGAGGCATTCTTGCCTTTGAAAGCAGATAGAGGGGGCATGAGAGGAAAAGTCCTGTGTTTGCTGCTGAGGTCAAGGAAACTAATGATCACAAGTTCATCCCATGCCCGGGGAAGGAGAGAAGGGGCCAGGACAGAGGAGGAGATGAGGAGGAAGAGCTGCTCCTGGCGGGTGGGCGGGGTGCAGAGCCTGGGGCTCTGCCCCTCCCCCTGGTGTGCTCTGACCCAGCCATGTGCATGGGAGGGAAGTTCTGAACGGCCCCATGTCCTGGAAGGCTAGAGAAGCTGGAGTGTTTTGATTCAAGAAAAGAACGAAGGATAAAAGGTAAGAAAGCAAGGGAAAGGAAGGGCAGAAGAAAGACCAAACCAGACCAGAGGCCTTAGAATGGCCTTTTGTAGTTAAACACCAAAAGGTTTGACATGTGGTGCATATTCAGGGTCTGACCATCCAGGCAAACAGGCTCATTTCTACAGCACCTGGTCCTGACCTTGTTAGCGCATTTCCTTGCTCAGCTCCTCTTAAGAAATGCCCAGGCGGCAAGCCTTTGGGAAGGACTGCGAAGGGGAACAGCCAACCCGGTGTGTAACAGAGGCAGTAAGTTCAGAAACAATTTTTGCAAGAGACAGTGAAGACCAGAAATGTGGACCTCCCCTCCGGAGCCCTGCGGCAGTGCTGTCCCTTCTGTCCGAAGCCCTGACAAAGCCATACATCATGTTTCCCAGCCAGCCTGTGTTGGTGAGACCCACTTAGCAGCCGAGGAAGGAGCCATCTACAGTCAGGGCAGAGCACACTTACCTCCATCCGCGGTGGACAAGCTCTGCGGAAAGAAAAGCAGGGCAGAGCGTTACTATGTGCATGGGGTGCGGATCTCCATCCATTTCCCCTCTCTTCCCACCAAGCCCTGCCCAAATCTGCGTGCTCTACTGGGAAAATTATCAGGATCCCTAAACTTAAGGGCACAGCTAAGGGTTTATCATTCATACCTTATACAAAATTTCAATTCATTTATAAAGAAAATCATTTCACCAAATAGCCTGGGTTGTGTTGAAGTAATACTAGAAAGTTCCATCTTAAAATTAATTTCATGGGGCTGTTCTATCACTGATGTCCTGCAGCAACAGAGGAACAGAATGGCCTCAGGGATTCTCTGTTCTTTACTCCACGGTCCCATTCGTTTTTGCATACAGCAAAATGTCAACGTGTCTACACTCTTCCTGATGGCAGTGCATGTACATTAGCTATGGTGTTGCTTCTGACTATTTTATAAAGAGAATTCTCCAAAACTGAAGTGTAAATAAGCCAGAGGGAATATGTATAATTTGCTTAATGAGAACTGGATTCAGAACACTGGAGTGCAGTAGGGGAAGACTTTTTGGGCTTTAGGCAGATAATGGGTTTGGACAGCAGGTAGTTGGGGCTAATATGATAGCTCCTCTTGATGCTTCCTGGGCAAGTCAGGGGGCCCAGACCTGAAGACAAGTGAGACTCTCGGTCTCAGGGATGGCACCTGCGGCTCCTAAAGCTGCACCCAGGACTTGTGGCCCAGGCTGCTCCTCCATTCCCACAGCACTCAGACCCCACCCAGCCCCCCAGGCACCATTTCCTAGGGCTTTCTTCCCCATAGACAGAGACACCATGTTTGTTTTCTTCACCTTCTGAAAGTCCTTGAAGGATTTTTCTGTCTCCTTTAGCTTCTCTAGGATGATTTGCTCTTTGGCGGATATCTGGGACTCTTCACTTTCAAGAGCTTGTATTTCCTGCTCCAGCCTGGAAGACACACAAACAGAGGACAAGTTGCTTTATTGTCCTGCCATCTGTGGGCAAGAGAGCAGCTCCTTCCGGCTGAGCCACTGTTGTCTTCCTGGCAGGCTCCATTTCACATTATGCTGAGGAACCAGGCCAAGGTTTTACATTACAGAGCATCCTGTATTTCCAGCTTTGTCACCAGGAAGATACTGCTCAAAGGACAGCAACCTCCAGGATGCCTCTACTAGTTCATAGCCCCAAACTTACTACATGCCTTGGTGTCCCCACTCCAAGTCCATCAGTGTGCACATTTCTTATTCAGGGTAGATTATGTTTACATCCTGCTGGATGTACTATCTGGAAGCAATTGCTTCACATTCTTTTAGCTTGCTCTGGATAACGGCCACACTCTCAGCATGGCCAGAGGGTCAAGGGCCAGTCTTGCTCAAAGGAGAAGCATCCCTAACAAATGGCAGGTGGCCAGAGCCCTTGAGAGCCTGCTCTCCTCTCCCGCAGTGGTCTGGCTTCCACCACTGAAAGAAGAGGAAACGGAAGGAGCAGACACAGCTGTCCCTATGGATCTGCAACTTTCCTCAGTCTTCACAGCCATTGTATATATTTTCTGAAAGGAAAATTCCAGCACAGCCAAAAGTCTCAGAGACTTCCAGAAGAGCAACTACAGTTATGCTTTGGGGGAGAATCTCAGCATTGATGTTCTTCCAGTAAAATGATAGGGATAATCATCAGCTTTTATAGGGCTCTTATTCTGTGTTAAGAACTGAACTAAGAAGTCACATCAGTTATTTAACTTTCCCAGTGACCCTACCAGTTGGGAATCCCCATTTTACGGAAGAGACCACTAAGGCTTGGCAAGGTTAAGTAACTAGTTTGCTGTTGTAGGGCCTTGGCACAAAGACATAAACTCAGAAGTCTAAATCTCCATGTGGGTTCCTCAGCTCTCACTTACTCCCTGCCTGGTTCACCAGTGTATGCTGGGAGGCTGGTTATATAGCTCAGCAGCATAAGCAACTGCCTGGCAAGCACAAGGTCCTGAGTTCAATTCCTGGTGCCAAAACCTGAAAGAACCAGTGTATGTTGGCATGGTAGGGTGGGGCTGGGACCCAGCAATGCCTTTAAGGATTATGGAGGGACCGATATTCCCTGACTAGAGGATGCCAGACTGCTGCGCTGCTATAGTTCTTTTTCATCTGACTTTGCTCTTTTATTTACTCATTCATTTGGGTTTTTTCATGGAGCAATACAATACAGGATGCATTTTATAAGATTTTATAATGAATTACCCAAAGAATCATATACAAGGAGTGCAGGAAATCTGTCCACATACTAAAGACCAAGGGATCTGGCTAAAGACCTGGATCCCAATATCCGAATCCAGTTGAAAACCTAAAATTCATAATAATGCCACAAGTCCAACTGGAGGGCAAAACCCCACAATAATATCTCATACAGGCCCACTTTATAGATCTGCAGTGGGAAGGCCCAAAGGTCAGTGGTGGAAGCTAGAAAGTCTGTGCCAGTAGGATGAAGGATCTGTGCCAGCAGGCTGAGGGATCCTAACTGGAGCCAGGAAGCAATGCTCATGGTACGAGCGAGAGGTTCCCCAAAGTACCACAGCAGTCCTCAGCAACAGTGAGGTTCTGAGCCCCTCCAATGATGAAGAAAGCTGAGACCCCATCAGGAAAGCCGACACGACAAGCTTCTTTAGGAGACTGAGCTGTGCACTATTTTCTCCTCCAGAGTCAGGAAACAATGCTCAAGGTAAGGACCAGAGCTCTCCCAAGGTGAACCACAGCCTTTCTCAGTGACAACATGGTCCTGAGCTCCTCCTCCTCCAACAACAGTCAAGTTCACCAGGAAAGCCAGCATGATAAGGTCCTCCAGCAGAACAGCCTGAGAGAACCAGCAGCTTCCAACAGCTCTAACAGTTTCTCCAAACAGCTTCCCAAGCAGCTTCCCAAGCAGCTTCCTTAACAGCCTCTTATGCTGCTGGGCACAATCCTCAGGTGGGCCTCCCATACCCAGCATCATGCTGGTCCAGTTCAGCTGGGCGTAACAAGCTGACAAGCAGTTGACAATCCACCATGCTCACTCACTCACTCATCCATTTTTATTTCTGGATTCTCTACCCTTATTGTGCTGAAACCCCTGCTGCAGAGTCTCCGTCTTCCTATGCTAATTATCTAACTTGTTCTTCTCCTCCTCTACTTTCTAATCTGTTCTTCAGCACTGGCCACCAGACCCCTCAGAGTTTGAACTCAAATGAACAGTTCAGAGTGAAATCTCCTGAGAGGTAAGGAACATCAAGAAAAATGAATGGATACACTGTACCCTAAGAAGGCTTCTGTGTTTCTTTTCTGAGTATCAGAAAAATGACCTCTGGATGGGGCAATTTTGCAGCAATGATGTTGGATTATAAAGGCAATGCTAAATCCAGTGGTATCGCCTCCAAATGAGCACAGCTGCAGAGGCATATAACATTTTATTGAGAGTGGAAGTGGAGTCTCACAGCAATGTACAAGGCCCGCCGCATCCAACCTCCAGGAGCCATCTGACCTGCACGGCCACCAACCTGCCTATTTCACTTTAGGTTTTGCCCTAACAGCTGGCCTATCACTCCTTTGTGCCCCGTATTTCTCCCCTCTCCAGGAAACTCATCACAAACTTCTAGCCATTCCTATGGCTTCAGCTCAGATGTCCCTCCCCCCATCCCAAGACTTTCATACACTTCTTTCATTTTTTGTTTGTTTTATCTTGAGGTAGGGTCTTGCTATGCAGTTCCAGCTGGCCTTGAGCTCACCATGTTGCCCGGGCTGGTCTTGAACTTGCAAGGATCCTCCTGCCTCAGCCTCCTGAGTGCTGGGATTACAGATGTGCACCGCCATGCCTGGCTCTGAACATTTCTTAGCACATTATTTTGGTTTCTCAGAACGCTTACTGAGTCTAGCATATGCAAGAGCAGCAGTTCTCAGCTAGGGTGATTTTGTCCCCCAGCAGATACCTGGCACTATCTGGAGAAAACCTGGTTGCTCATCACGCAAGGAGAGTGGGGCTGGTATCACTGGCAGCTAGCAAGTGGAGACCAAGGATGCTGCTAGACATCCTACGAGGCACAGGACAGTCCCTAGAATAAAGAATTATCTGGCCCCCAAACAGTAACATGCATTGTTAATTCCCTCATTTAGATTACAAATTCATCAAAGAGAGCGCACACATGCTCAATGCAGTATGCTGAATGAATACAATACAACAAAATCCAGCCAAGTTGCACAAAGGTATGTCCCAGTCAAGATCAGGCCATCAGAACTTCTGAAACCAGAGGGTGCGAGCTTTGGCAAGCTTTGGTGTGAGAGGCTGTGAGTGGGCTGAGATGCAAATGGCATGTGGAAGACAGAGGGATGATCAGTGGGAAGGCACAAACATGGAGAAGTGAAACTCCTTGGCTGTCCCAAAAGTTCGGCAGACTGTTGTACACACACCTGTGTAAATTACTTGGGTTGGGATCCAAGGAGAGGGATATGCAAATGCAACAGGGCTAACAGCCTAGGATGGCTGAATGACCCATACGTTGGGCCAATTCAGTGGGTGGGAAAGGTCTGGGTTCGGGGTCCAGTGATTGGATGATTAATTCCCAGGTGGCTTCTAAGCAGATTTTATTTAAATCTCGAAGGACAGAGTTCCTCAGAAGATATTTAGGAGAAGTTGTAGATTACATGATTCTCAACAATACTCCTCATTCTATTTGCCTCTCTGAGAAGAATACCAACTTCCCTCACCCACTAATGTTGATTTTAGTCATGTGTTTGCTTTGGCTTCATGACGGATGGGCTATGTCTCCCCTGAGCTTGCCTGTGGGTGTAACCTCATTACCTCTGTTAGCCAATGAGGTGTCAGCGGAAATGATCCAGAGAGAACCCTTGGAAAGCAACAGCCCTGCTGGGCTTGCCCCCTTACCTCAGCCAGTGCTGTGAGAAAACCTCTAGGCAACTCCTGCCCTTCCTTCAGTATGGGGCTCAGAAAGAAAGTGCATGAGGAAGACCTGAGCCCAGCCCACAGCCAGAGAAACACTCGGCTGGAGTGAGGCCATTATCAGAGTGGCTTGAAAAGACCAGTCTAGATCAGCAAGCACGTAACAAGCAGCCAACACAGAAGTCACAGCAGAGAGGAACAACTCTCAGTCTAAGCCAGTGTGACTCTGAGGAAATTTATCATACATTATGGTGGCAATCATTCAATGAGACAGGTCAGATCAACAAATCATCCTAGTTACATGAAATATATACACACAGATGCTTGTATGTACAATCTTTGATTTACATCTGTATTCATATATCCTAAAAAAACTTGAAGCTAAAAGATTGAGAAGGTCATATACTAGCTGGTACCTCCTTCCCTGAATCATCAGAGAAACCTAGAGGGAAGCATCATTCCTTTGTGAAGATGAAGACTAAGAAAATAACACCTGTGGCAGTTATTTTCTTGATTGATTGCAATGTTTGACCTTTTTCCAGTTTTAAAAAAAGTTATGTATCACTTATGCAATCAGAATGCTTTGCTTATGAAAACAATCAACTGCTTTTAAAAATTATTTATTTATTTATTATTTTTTCAGTGCCTGAGGCCTCATCCTGGGAAGGCAGGCCCTTACAGGGTGTGGTATAAGAAGGGGCCAGTGCTTCAGTTTTTCTGTCTCAAGTGGAGGGATTAAATGACAGCCTTCAAGTCCTTTTCTTTCCTTTTCTCTTCTTTTCTGTACTGGGGATTGAACCAGGGCCTCTGCTTTAAGCTATATCCCCATCCCTTTCTAATATTTTCAATTGGAGACAAGGGCCCATTAAGTTGCCCCGGCTGGGTTTGAACCTGTGATCCTGCTGCTTTAGCTCATCGGAGTGTTGAGATTACAGATCTTTGCAAGCGCTCCTAGATCCAACATCTGCTTAAATCCAAAACCAACAGTTACCAAGTTTACAAGGCTGAGCCCAGAAGTAGACACGATGGAGAAC